TCTGGTCCGCCTAAAAACCTGGAACACAGTTTGGTTGAAGTGAACTGTAGCGCGGTTCGAATGCTTATGTAAATGTCAAGCAGACCACAGAATGCTAAACTGCTAAAATCTGATGCTACTCTATTCTTGTTTGTATTTTATGATGAAGGAAGTTGCACTCAAGGGTTTTTGTACTGTTTCCTTGAGTACTTCTTGGTGCAGCATCACCATAGGTGAGCGGGTCACAAGGTTTGTCAAAGGGTTTGAGTCATTTGACAGATGCATTTAAATGTATATAACATTTAAATAAAAGTGTGATGAAACGAGACTGGAAGAGGGCGCAATGTTATCCTACCCAGACACATAGTGAGCAACATGGTAACGGATGTAAAAATGTCACCTCGGGTCACCAAATCTCTAACAATTATAAGAATCTGGTCCCAACTATTGTTCACTAGACAAAAAGAAATCAACCTTGTTTCATGGACACATCAGTGCCTTTGTCTAAATCCTGTAAACTGAGGAAAAGGAAGCATAAGGACTGTGAGTGTCTAGAAATATTGTACAGTATGCTTCTCTAACCTTGCAAAATATCATGGGGTAACACTTGACTGTCATGGAAGGACAAACAAATTGTAAGAAGCATTACTAACATATTAACTAATTTTGTTATGTTGTGGTTTTGTAAAAAAAAGAAAAAAAAAGTTTTTCTTAATCTGGGGATGTTTTCTCTTCATCCCAATGTAAGAAAAAAAAAAGGTTGCAAGTATGCTGCTCTAGACATTTATGGTATTTACAGAACATTAACAGGGTTACCAGCAGGGTGCTGTATTTGCAGTTTTATCCACGAGGAGCTGTATGTGTGCAGGAAAAAAAAATGCACTTTTCGCTTTTCCTCTTGCTCCGATTTGACCTCAACAATTCCTCAGGGAAACATTGGGCTCTTTTGCTGACAAACACCCTGAAGTGTTCACCGGCTAATGATCAGTTGGCTCTGTCTGTTGCTTATTGCAGTGCATGTGTTGTATTGAGGCTTATCAGGGATAATTCTGCTGAAACCAGCGTGTTGTGCTACAAAATTATATAGAGTTAAAGAGAGGTATTAAGCTAAATAACAATGAAATCACCTGGGAAATTAATCCAAATATATTGAGTTAATTTTTTACTTATTCATTCCCCTAAGCCCATTATGTTTGTCTGTTACAGTGAATTATATAAAATATATTTAAAATTGCATTTGCCTCAAAGAATTACTGTTACAAAGGAGTGTTTCATTGCTAAAATGTTTTGATTTTCTGCTTCTGCATATACATTTTCTAAGTAAATTCATTTTTTTTCACATTTTATTAAATATATAGAACATTATTTAATTTTTGTGGAATGATACAGACAGTTAGCTAAACCAACTATTGAGCTTCCCTAAGATTTCTTTCTAGAATTGCACCATATGTGATTCAAATAACACTTTAAAGTCTGTACTGAATCATGTGAAAGAGAAATTATTCAAGACCATGAAGTCCTGCACACTCTGCAGGTCAGAGGACACAAAAGGGATTATTTAAAAGATGCAGAACTGGGAATAATGTAAATCACTGAGAAGCTGAAGGGGAAAAAAGAAGGGCTTCCAGAGACTTCGTACTGTCAAACTCACATTATTTGCATCAAAATAAATCCCTAAAACTATGCATATGCATGCTTGCTCAAATGCATGCATGCACACTCTGTCAAAGGCAATCATAAACAAATATGTGCCAACTCAGCAAAATTGCTGAGGCTTCAGAGAAAGAAAAAAGAAAAGGAGTCAGACTCTGTTTTATTTCTGTGTAAAATTATTCTGTGTTTGTTTTAATTCAGTTCGGGTCTGTAATCTTTTATCAGGCAATTTGTTTTTGATTATTTTTTTTGTTGTTGTTTTTATGGGCTTCATTTACATTTTCCTCGTCTGTATGGGAGATTAAAGAAGAGGGGAAGTGATGCAGAAATTGAGCTCTTTCCAGTTTCCAGTAAAAACTGGAAAGAGCAGAGGAGGAGACGGAGGGTGAAAATAAACAAGTGATGATAAAAGCATAGAGGCAAAACTGAATGGAAAAACAGTAAGTAAAAAATGTGCTTATAGAAAAAGAATGAAAATGTAAAGAGAATTGAAGAAAAACCTTAATAGCGAACCACCCATGTATCCCACTGCAACAGAATCAACAACTGTGACTCAAATACTGCAGCAATGACCCCATAATAACATTAACTAGGACATTTCTGAAGAAACTCGTACCCACCATTCTGATGCTAAAAATTAGCATCAATGCTAAAGTAAGCTACAATGTACTCAATAGCATGTGGAGAGTCACAAGTATGTTGAATAATATGGATTTACTCCATGTTAGAATTAGTGTACAAGCTAAAATTACCCAAAATGCTAATGTTGGCCTAAATGCTGCCAATGGCATGTGGCACTAGCATGTTGTCTTGCATTGACTTCCTCCATTAAGTGTGCTAAACATGGCTAGTAAATAAGCAAAATAGCTAAAAAGCATATTTTATGGAAAAGACTACTGCTAATGTGGGCAGTAGCTATTTTGTGCTAATGTTAGTGCACTGCCTTCTAATTTTTACTTTTGCAAAAGTAAAAATCGCATGTTTACTTTGCGGCACTTGGTTACCAGAAAACGCGCTCATCTCTTAGCAACAGATTAACAACAAGATAAGATTTCTTCTGATCTTTTGAAATACTACTTACCTCATACCACTTACTACTTAAGAATTGTGCAGTTGGTGAATCTTTCAGATAAGTGAAAATGTACTTTTTTTTGTCATTGGTGATGAATATATTATAAAACAGACATTCAACACAACAGTAAAAATCTAAAAACGCTCATCTCTTTACACCAAATTAATTATTGTTTACAAAACTTAAGCTCTTTTGAAATACTGCTTATCTGCTTACACACAGGAAATGTACAGTTGGTGAACTTTTGGTTTTAATTAAGCATAAATCTGTTGTCTTTTTTTTATGTTTCTTGTTTGTGTCTGTCATTAGTGTGTGAGAAACATATTACGTTTCACATTAAACCTTGAGGGGATTTTTTTTATTATGTTTTGATGAAGTACCAACAGAAAATACTTCACTTGTTTATTTTTTAGTCTTTATTTGAAAAGTAAATGGCCCTTCACAACATGCTACTGCAGGACTACTCATCAACGCAGACAGGAACCAGTTTCTTTACATGTTTAAAACGAGATTAAAAAAAAAAAGAAATCTAGTTTTACAGCCACGTAACACTGAAACAAGACGGCGAGTGTCCCCAAAATTGTGCCCTTGTTCTGAATAAAATCAATCTTCCTCAACCTATAAACATCAATAGATTTCTTATAGACCTGTGTGTTGTACAAACATTTGAAATGATGTAAATATTTGAGCAGAAATACAGAAGACAAAGAAGAAAAGGTTAGAAAAAAGGGGCAGATTATAAAGAGAGAAACAGTCTTTAGACCTTTAGTCTTTTTTTAAAGGCTGAAGCTAAGAGAGAGTTCTATCTTTGATTGCTTAGTGTGTTTGCAGCTGCTGACTGGCAATATCCAGCTTGAATGCTTTTTTTAAACTCACTGAATGCATGAACCAGAGCACTGCATACGTGTTCAGCCTCTGGATATATGAATATCAACGTCTCCATGAAACCCAGGGTTTAAGTCAGGCGCTATGTGGAGCAGATCTGTCATTACAGTTGTCTATGCACCATTTCTTGCTGCATTAGTCATTACTTTGCCCTTGTGTCAGATCTTTGCAGTATTATAATGTCATTCAGTCTCCAAATACAGATCAATTTCGAACTAACACAGTAAAATAAAAACTGCCACACACCCTCGGATACAGAAGCAGCTCTCCAAAGTTTTTTCTTAAAAAAATAAAAATAAAAAGTCAACACTGGAGGGTTCAGTTGGTAAGAAATTTTGAAATAAGTTGAAATATTACTTTTTAATCCAAGGTTTTCACTCTCTGTTGTATTGAGTTTCAGTAATTAAATCAAACTCTGGTTGGTTTGTTCAGAAGTTTGGTTCACTTGGGAAGATGTGAATGTGGAATCGAACTCTGATGCAGACCAAGAAAGCAAACTCTGGTCCATTTAAATACCTGGTCGACGTGAACTCTGGTGTGGTTTGAATGAATATGTGAATACTTACCAGGTCATAGACCAGTCCAAAAGTTTTCAGTCCCCAGTCGAACCGAGTCTACTGGATTATCCAGTGTGAGAACACCGTTAGCTAAGAAAACACCTTTTTTGTATGATAAACAGTTTGTGTCACGCTCTGGGCCTTTTTTTCTTCTATAGTCACTGGGAACATTCTCAGAAGGCATAGCACAATTACTTATTTAAAATGGGACATTTTGAATAAAAATGTTGTGGTTTCTGTCAGAAAATGACACATGCGTTCTGTAAGCAGGATAAAGATCCAGCAATAAGATCAGATCGATACAAAAATGGTTCACAAGATATCAAATCAACCTTCTTCCATGACGGTGACTAGCCCCAGCACTAAACCCGACATAAAACCTGCAGTGTCTGCAACAAAACCAGTAGAGAGAAGCCAGGACTAGAGGAGCTTTGGTAAAAAGGAACTGAGAAAAAGTCTTATAGGCACAAATGTTTTTTGTTTGTTTGGTTGGTTTTGTTTTTTGTTTCAAAAAAATGCTGTTTCTTTCTTTTGGATTTTCTGAATAAATGTACTAAAAATTAAAAGTGACATTTTTCTCTCTTTATTTTTGTTTGTGCCCTAGTAAAAGGTGTTTTACACATCTGGCAGAGGTGCCAATTAATTTGATTGACTCAATAAAATTTTCCATGAATGTTTGGGATTCAGTAGTGGAGAACACAAATAAAATGGCAATGTAAACCATCTGAGATTGAAGTTGGGATTTTTCTCAGTTTTTTTTTTCTCTTGCAGTTTACCCTTTTTTTTCCCCTCAGTCTCTGTGTTTTCGTTCTCTCTCCGTCCTCTAATGGATATTCCATCTGTATGTGTTGCAGGATCACTCTCAACGGGATGAAGGTGTCCAGGCCAGATGTCCGCATCGGCCGCTACAGAATGATTAAGCATGAGAGGGACAAACACAACGAGCCAAACCCACAGAGGTACTGCATCACAGTCAATCCCCATCTTTACATTTGAATCGATCTTGCTGCTTTTGTTTCACACAAAACTTTTCAGTTATTTCTATTAGGTTTTGGGTTTCTTGTTTTAAGGGTTACAAACATATGACTCCCTGAAAAACTGTAATCTGAGTTGGAAACATCAGAAGCACATTTGTCAGCTTCAGCGGTAAAGACACCGCATTTCATCCGCTGTGGTTAAACGAGAAGTCTTGCTCTTTATTTTCCACAGCTTCTGATTTCCAGTTCACACCTGGGAGCTGCCTGCTGTTAGTCCAGCGCTCCTGCTGTTTGTTCACTGAGCAGGTCCTGCAAAGAAACTACAAGTGAAAGGAAAATAAAAAAAGTCTCCCTTTGACACACCTTAGAGGTGTTAAAGTGTATCATTAAAGACTGCATTGCTGTCTGATCTTTAAGTCCAGTATTTGGCTAAATCAGCTTCCTGACAGCATGGATCTTGGGAGTTTGGAGGAAGAAGTTGTCGAATTGAAGTTTGCAGTCTTATCTTGCCTTTTTCTAATTTTAGTTTGTTTAGCAGTGTTAAGAGTAGTTTGGCTTTTATAGCATCTTGTTTTAATTTTCTGCAAGCTGTAACTTCCAGGAGGAGAACGGCATAAACATGTTACAAAACGAATACAATTTTTGCTCTCTACAATCATGCTCTACTTTCTGTTGACTTGGCTCATAAAGTCCCAATAAAATAGATTTAAGTTCATGGCTATAATGTTAAAAATAAAAAAAATAAAAAAAACAAGTCTGAAGGGTTTGAATCCTTTTGTAAAACATTATAAATAAGGGAAATATATGTCACACGTGCTACAGTATTATAATTTAATGTTTAGTGAATATGCAGCTGAATAGGCAGGTTCTTGCAATGTAAGCAGGTCGTAACATTCAGGTGCAACATTATATCAGGACTTTGTGTGTAAATCTGTCAGATTATAAAGCAAAATATGAACCAATGCAATTTCCTGCACACCACGGTTTGGGCGTTATGGTCACAAAAAGACAAGAAAACATGTTAAAACACCAAAGGGAAAAAAAACAAAACCTTTTTTAATAAACCAAAAATTGCTTTTCATGCATACAGCCCTAGGGTTTTAATGCTGCTCTTTTCACTACTCTGATCTGAATTGTTTTTTCAGACAAAACGTGCAAAAATACCTCCCTCATAAATGTGCTATTTTATGCTTTGATGAACGAGAACCAGTATGCAGAGATGAGCCCTTCTAGACACATTAATCACCAGGAGTATAGCACCTCACATTAAGCTGCTTAAATGCGGATTATCACTGTTTATTCTCCTCTAAGAGCCTCCGTTTTCATGCCTGGATAGGCCGGCCAATGAAGCCTCTCAGCACCAAAATCGATAGCTGCTCTGGCTTGGTTTGAATAAATATGTAGTGAAACTTGTCCCCCCCTCCCCCCCCTCTCAAATTTATTTCAGTTTGATCTCCAGTGGCGTAATTATGTCACAACATTTAGACACTTCTGTGCTCCAGGACCGTAGTCCGCAGTGAGTTCTGCTTTAGTCGTTGCTGCTAAATTGGTTTTTAAGAAGATTAACAACTGCTGGGAACAAGAGTCATGAGTGAAAGCATATTGACTGTTTACTGCAGCCAAACAAATTGTGGCTGCTTGATTTGAATTTTGCATATAGCCTCTGAACCTGGCCGCTGATACAATATTACTTTTTTTTTCTTCTTTTCAATTATGTTCTTTTAGCAAGAGAGACATTAGAGGAGAAAACAAAATAAAACGGTCAGCAAAAAATAAAAGAAGATCAAAAGTTCTGCTCTATCTAATGTTATTGTGCTTTGCATTTTATATAATAGAAATCCAAGTTTTTGGGTCTTGTATGCATGTTGGAAATGACAAGTTTGGAGTTGTTTTTCTCTTAAACATATCCAATTAAGAGTTCTCTGGAGGCAGGTAAGCTGGTCAGCGCTGACTAATGGCAAAATGGACTAAAAACTGAGAAAAACTGACAAAGGCTGCAAATAAAATGTGAAAGCTGAGTGAAGGTTCACCTCCCAGTCGGACATAAATGCTAACCATGCCACTAGAGATACCATGGGATGATATAGATCAAAGCTATTCCTTTGATAGACTCAATATAAATCTAATTGAGAATCTGTAGCAATACTTGGAAATCAGATGCACTTGTCTAGCCAACATCCCAGTCTCCAAAATGTGTAAATCTGGTAGAGACTTAGCCTAAAAGATATGCAGTCGATCTGCAGCAAAACATGGCTCAACAGATGATTGATCAGGAGGTTGAATACAAAATACAAATCCATCTTTTAGTGTGAGAAATAAAAAAGAAAACATAAATCATTTTTGCTTTTATGCTTCCCAGTGACTAATTCTGTTCAAGTTAAAGGGGGAAAAAATAGAAGTCACTGTTGTTCATTCTAAATTGAAAGAACAGTTTTGCTGTCAAATGTTAAGAAAATTTTACAAAATATAAAGTTACAGAACACCTGCAGTGAAAGACGCAGAAGTCAAACAGGTGAAAAAAAAAAAAGTTTTCTCTGCCAACATGCAAATTATAAAAAAAGACATCTCAACAGACCAGTCCTATCATCTCCACTTGTTCTCTGTATCCTTTTTAAACTCCCAATGCTTGTCAGGAGCCTCAGGTGTACTTTACCAATCTGCTCAGCCTGTCTCCGATGACATAGTCTGTTTTATACATAATAATTATTCAGTGATCCCTTTTTAAGTTTTTAGTGATTTTTCTTGGTTGTTAAGCAAATTTCCATCTTGTGCTCTTCCAGTTTAGTCATTGCACTTCTAAGAGATCCATTAATAATGGACTGATATTATTAAGTACTTTATCACATAATTTCTGAAAATATGGAAATGAATAATATACCCATTTTAGTGCCAATGAGCGGAAAGAGCAAGTTCACCCACAACATTTTATGGCTTTAGCTGACAAGAACATAGAGAAAATAGTTTATCCTGCTCTTGCTGAGACATCACACATCCATCTCAATGTGCTTCAGCTTTAAAAACAAACAATCTATACTGCAAATTTGTCGCAATAGCTTGAAAGTGAAAATGTTTAAAATAACCAGGCTTGTGTAATGCATCACTCTTCATTGTTTTGTATGCGTGCGTGCCTCTGTGTGTTTGTGTATGTCAGAGAGATGGAAAGGTTCAACGATCCCCCCCAGTAATTGCCTGCTGAAATGACACCAATAGAGATGGGAGCCGGCTAGGTCAGAGTGGTCTAGTTGCTTTCATCAAAATCAATAAATCAGCCACTAGACAGAATGAAAGTGTGTGTCTGTGTTTGCATGCGTGTGAATGTGCATGTTGTGTGCGTGCGTTTCTGATTGATACCCAGTTCTCGTTTTCCTCCCCGTCTTGCTGGTTGATTTCTTTCTGGTCCATAGACCAGACTTCCTCTATAAGAGGTGACACCAAGAGGGACACTTTTTATTTGGGGTGGATACATTATTCATCACCGAGGCGACGGGCAGAAAATAGACTCCTATAAGTTGCCATAAACTTCATTTTTTAAAGCCGTTCTGGACACTTATAATGTCTTTCAGATTAAAGTGAGCTTTTACAAAGAAGTGGGCTTGGACTTTAATAAATTGTGGCAGGTCAGGATGGTCAGAGCCAGCAAAGGTGTATATAGCCGACTCATGACTGCATTCAGGCAGTTTTGTTTTTTTTTAAATGAAAGGCTCTCTCATTTATTTTCTGTGTCCCTTTTGAGCACGAAATTTCTTCTATGGGAAACGAGATATGTATTATAATGCAGCTTGGTAAGCATTTCTTACACTCTGCAGTACATTTAATCTATCTAATTAACCGAAGTTTTAGACACAGTTGTCAAATATACACCTTAAAAATATGAATATGGTAACAAATCATAAGTTTTTAATCAGAAACTAGAGGTGGTGTCATGATCCATCTTTGGTGCACAGCAATACCTTCTTACAGTGGTTACATTGAGCACTTTTTCCATTAGTGCTCAATGGAACTGAAGAAGCTGTAAGAAGCTTCTTCAGTTCCTACATCAGCAATAACTTGTCTTGCACAATGTGCACCCTAGTTCACCCCGGCAGAATCATTGTATTAAAAAACCCACTGAAAAGCAAAGGCAAAAAATTACATGAATTCATCAGCAGATGTACATTTTATGTAGAATTAAAATCAGCAATAGCTCAATCAGTGTCTTGATCTAGGAAAGAGACATTCCTAAATCCAGAGGTACATGGCCAGGGATGTTTTTTTTTTTTTTATGGGAAATAAAAACAGAGTAAATGTAGTTAACACCACCAGTAACCTCAGTTAATGGCTCCCTTGAAGGCGTATAGCTGAACATAAGTCTATTCTATGGGAAAATTAAAATAAATAAGTACATAAAGTTAATGGAAACAACACCTCTATATGCATCTTTGCTCAGGAAAGAGGCAAAATTACCACAATCACTGGATCTGGAGGGCTTTCTATTAGAAAGAAAATCAAAGAGAAGACAAAGCCACTTCAAATTGAAAAGTAAAAGCAAGAGCGTATGGATAGATTAAGTCTGATACTTTTGTCAGGTTTACTTGGAATATTCAATTTCTTTCTCGAGATACAAAATAAGTGACTACTTTTTAAAGCTTCAAATAGCATAAAAAGGACACATTTACCTGTTTAAAACTATGAATTTTATTCAACACCTGCATTTGGCCTGAGGGTCTTTTATGTGAGTTTTTCACCAGAATGCACTGACAGCCCTAACAAACTTGGTTGGTTGTTAGCTGAATAAAAGAAAAGTATTTCCTTTTTTTCTTTAAAAAGAGTGGAGAACAGCCCAGATTGTCCTTGAAGAGGTTTGCATCACTACAGTTCTTTTTCCCACACCAAACATTTTGACACATTGACAGGAACTGCACAGGTGTGTTAACAGCAGCTGCATTCCTCACAGAAAATGTCATGTTGTATTTTATGCTTGTTCATTTAACATGTCCTCTATGAAAAATGCCCCCTTCACTGATAAATTCAGCTTGACTTTCTGTTTCTTTGTCTCCAGGTCCAGTTTTTGGTTTCCTCTTTACACTTCAGAACAATTATAAAGTCTTCCAAGACACGTTACCTGGGCT